GGCCCCCCCCCCCCCCCCCCACTGTTCGGCCTAGGTTATTTTATTGGTTCATTTAATGATGTTGATTTATTCTGTTTTGAATTAACATTTACTGTCTAGTTTTTGCCATTACTGGGAATGCTTAGTGTACCTAACCATATTCCTCATACTTCATGAACCTTATTCTCCATACTCCATATACATAACCTTATTCCCCATACTCCATGTACAGAATCTTATTCTCCATACTCCATGTACATAACCATATTCCCAATACTCCATGTACAGAACCTTATTCCCCATACTCCATGTACAGAACATTATTCCCCATACTCTATGTACAGAACCATATTCCCCATATTCCATGTACAAAACCATATTACCCATACACCATGTACAGAACCATATTCCCCATACTCCATGTACAGGAACTTATTCCCCATACTCCATGTACAGAACCATATTACCCATACTCCATGTACAGAACCATATTCCCCATACTCCATGTACAGAACCTTACTCCCCATACGCCATGTACAGAACCATATTCCCCATACTCCATGTACAGAACCATATTCCCCATACTCCATGTACAGAACCATATTCCCCATACTCCATGTACAGAACCTTATTCCCCATACTCCATGTACAGAGTCTTATTCCCCATACTCCATGTACAGAACCATATTCCCCATACTCCATGTACAGAACCATATTCCCCATACTCCATGTACAGAACCTTATTCCCCATACTCCATGTACCTAACCACTTTCCCATAATCCATAAACACGTAAATGTTAAAGAAGCCCCTGGAAAATTAATGGTTAAAAAAAAGAGATATAAGTTAATATATGTGTTCGCAATCAGTGTTTCTTTCAGACAATATCCCCAGGGGGGGGGGCACTTCAGATTTTAAGTGGGGGGGGGCAGTGCCAGTTGAAAGAGGCGTAGCTAAGATGGGCATAAGGGACATATTTCTACGGGTGCCAGACTAGCGGGGGCATCTATGAGCTATAGTTTTAATGGATGAAAATAATTGGTTTCAGAGTTTAGCGAGGGGGGGGGGCTGGAGTAAAAATCACTCTTGTCCCCTGGCACTAAAGACACACGCCAGTGACGTAAAAGGGAGGGGGAAATATTTGATATTCCGAGATGTCATTGTTTCTTTAGATTGAGCGGAGGGATTTTTGGATAACTGCAGAGTTTCTATCGAGAAAGGTAGCGCGGCAAAAAAGTTAACCCACCTAGGGTGACGCCAAAACTAGGGACGCCGCTGGGCAGTGTATATATCAGCACCATAATTGGTTGTCAGGGCAAGCAATGCTGACATTTTAATAGGGGCAGAAATGGAGCATCCCGATGGCTTTTCCTAATCAGGAAATGTTTGATTATTTAACAATCAAGAGATGCATTTTGGAGTCTACCGTCGTATTATTTGTTTAGGGAAAATACTTTTCAAGCATCGGGGTAGACAATATAACGTCCAGTGCCAAACATAAACTAAATTCATTCTGGCTATGGTGTGCCCAAGATAATCATTTGTAACAAGATTATATTCAACCCCGTTAAGTCACATTGATCGCCGTCAAGGAAGGGAAATCATAAATTGCGGAATCAGAAGAGTCTTTAGCAAAAGCGAGGGCAGGGTTCCCCTTAATAAAAAAATTATAAAATAAAAAGGCAGTGATGCATTGTGGTGCAAATTCAATGTATCTTTCAGACAATGTGTGAAGGGGCATTTCAGACTTTCATAGATTTACTATTAGATGTCTCGTGGAGAAATGCTACGAATACAGCATCAAAATACGCCAACTATGTGTGGACTACAGATCAGCTTCTGATAGCATAGACAGGAAATACCAATACGATGCTCTCCTGGAACTTGGATTCCCTAACAAACTTATCCGACTCATACATATGACGATGGATAACTCCAAAGGTAGAATTAAAGTAATGAGAGACTACTCGAGAGAGTTCTCAATTAATCAGGACATCAAACAATGAAATCCATACATCCATTTCAACATCAAATGAGAAAAAGGCATTAGAAAAATGCATGTGAGCACTAGAGAGGTAATACAGAACAACAATAATGAACTTTATAAAGCCAGCCACTGCAGTACCTGGCATACGCAGACGATATAGCGCTACCTGGTAGAAACGGCAATAATATAATAAATGCTTTCAGTTAGTTAAGCTTTTATGTGTCACTTGACTTCGGAGCCATCGTGTGAGGTCTGCATGGGCGACGCATATTTTAGGGGCTTAAAGTTTTGCTGTAATTACTTTAAATTATCAACTTTTGCTGCTAGGTACAGAAGGATAAACCTGAAAAGTAGCTGGATGCCACAAAAAGTGAAGCGACGCCTCTGCTTTACTAAGCGTGTAACACACACATATATTTTTTTATGTTATCGAAGAGTAATGTGTTTTTTTAGTTTTTAATTAAAATACTTTTGGGGTGAACTACATTAAAAAAATAATAAAATTTACTACAAAGTATTTTTAAAAATTTTAAAAGAATTCCTTCTTAAAAAAAAGATATCCATCACAAAAAAAAGAAAAGCTAAAATAGTTTCACATTTTGAACACAAAAGAAAACCCAAAGACATGCATTTATTCTGAAATATTTTCAAGTTTTACCAAAGTCAAAAAGAAAAGTTAAGTTTTCTATAGTAAGTTCGATACATTTGTATGGGTTTTTACAATTCGTATTTATTTATAAATCGTATGTAACCGACACAATTGTTAAGAGGACATGATTTGTTTACAAAAGACATCATATA